GGTCGAAGGCCATTTGTGTAAATTGCATGAGATTATATTGTGCGTGCTGCCGGATGGGTTATAAAATGTGTTTTATGCAGGTGCAAATTTTGGGGAAATGTTCAATTTACAGGGGAGACTCTGTCTTCCCAGGGTCTCGTTCCAAAAAAGCAATATCAAACTGGTTAGGTTCAACTAGGGGAGATGTGTGATGAGGTGACTCAATTGATGGTGAAGCCTTATCATTGAATGTAGAAGCCTTGTCATTGTCTAATTTATCACCATCATTTTTTTTCTTGAAGAATGAATCAATAGTTTTTGCTCTTTTACTTGCTTGGTTCTGATGTGACATTATAATCTAATAACACATATCAAAAACAGAACAATTTACTTTATACTAAACAAATCAATGAAAAAATAATAATAATTCAAGATTGTGGAGAGTTAGATACCTTTATTACGCTTGTTGACGATGAACTCGACTTTGGTAGCACAGAATACAAAACGCTGCAAATATTCTTTTGGGACTGCTAGGGCTAGGGCTAAGTTTCATAAATATGAATATCGTATCTTCTTCTTTTTTTATTAGACTGACTAAGATACTTATAAAGTTGCGTAGGACAAACTAGGCTAGGAATAGGATACTTCATCATATCAAACTAGGATACTTTATTCAATGGGAAACTAGAATACTTTATTGTATAGGAAATAGACCACACAACTTTAAAATAATAATAAAATAATAAAAAGACAATAGCAGCCAGCCACCAATGGTCCAATGCATTGGCCACGTAACCCACGCTGGCCCTCATAAATTAAGCACAACCACATCTAATTTTTTTTTTTTATAAAAAAAAACGTCCTTGGGCTAGAGCCCACTCTAGCCCATATGCTAGTTCCGCCCCTGATTATAGGGAGTCACTAGGAGTTATTTCTCTCTCCTTAGATTTAAAAGCTCCTAGAAGTCTCCTTATTTTAGGAGGTGAATAGGAAGCATGGTTGAAGTTGTATTTTTCCAATTCCTTCTTAAAATTTGTCTAAGGAGATAGTTTAGGGAGCCCATTGTGAATGCTCTAATGATGAATATTATATATACCGTAATCTTTGATTTCAGAAAACGTTCTTCTCGTTGGTATTGGCTTCAATTACCAAACCAAAACTCCGCCCCAACCAAAACACCACCACTGCACAACTCTGAAAGTTGGAAGGAAAATAAGTATTGAAGAAATTCATGGATATATTAAACCCAACAAAATTATATTTAAGTCTAGGCGACTCAATTGTGTTGGAATTGGCTTAAATTTGATGGCATGTGTGTGTTTTGTTATGGGCACCTACCATGACTTTGTTGACTTCACAAGTGCTTTCGGTGGCTTTGTTTTTTGATTGATAAAACTTTATGCGTGTGAGGAAGACTTTGGGGAAGCAAAGACAAATTGGGAAAAGCAAGTTTGACTTTGGGGAATGGTGTTAGGCTCCTTTTGTCGCGTGGCGGGGTTGGGTATTCGAAACTAAGAGCATTCTTTGGAACCTTGTAGAGTAAATTTTGCAAGATAAGAAGAGTGTATTATCCTCCAGTCAAACTAAATTCCTTTCACCTCTCGAGTCGAGATACCAGGTTAAACACAAAGTTTTACAAAGTGATCATCCAATTTCTTTGGAGCTGATGTTTCTCGGTCTACAAGCTACAGGTCATCATGGACAGTCATGTTACCTCATTTTGACATCTATATATATCTTAACATATGTAACACACACAACTAACTAAGCACTTATATTTTGTAATAACGAAGGAAATTTGAACATCCATCCAGGGTTTCTATTCGC